ATTAGTTGGCCAATTAATTTCTTTCTATTTATAGTAGAGATGGGGTCTTGCTCTTGCTCAGGCTGGTTTTGAACTCCCTGGTCCAGGGCATACCATTTAGCTTTTGTTAACAACCCCAAAAGACAGTGACTTAAATGACTTTCTTTTAGTCCCTGATGCTGTGGGACCATCTGCTGGACAGTTCTGTTGGTCTCACCTGGCTCACGCATGAAGCTGCAGTCAGCTGAGGGGTGGCCTCATACGCGTCTGGCAGCTGGGGCTGGCTGGTGCTTGGTGTTGGCGGCTGGAGTGATGGCTGTAACTGGGCCATGTGTCTACAGAAGACCAGTCCAGCTTATTCACATGCTGGTGCTCACAGGATTCCCAAGAGCAGCAAGAAAGGACAAGTCCTAAAGTGCACAAGCAATTATCTAGTCTCTGCTTTTGTCACGTGTGCCATTGACACATTGGCCAAAGCAAGTCACATGGCTAAGCCCAGAGTCAGTGTGTGGATTGCTTACCCAAGGTTGTATTGTACTGACAATAATCCTTTATTGCCCTGCGACAACGAGGGAAAAAAAAGAAAAAAAAAAGAAGAGAATTATGGAGGCCATTGTAACAAACGATTTACCAAACAGGGGATGAAGGACGATGAAAAGATGCCAACAGCCCCCATCGGAAGTCATCAAGTGCCTCCACTTGAGAGTGTTCCTCTGTCGTGATCTCCTCAAACAGAAGAGTTACCTGGTCCTTGGATAATTCCTCCAGTGACCAAAGAGCTATCCTATAAATAGGTGCCTTTTTCAGAATTTCAGACATCATCCACTAGGAAGACAATGCTTTACCTAAATTTATGTTTCAAAACCGAAGTAGAAGATCTATTAAAGACATGAAGATTCCCCTAGATACTTTTTAGATGGTTTCTCAGATGTCTTGGGTACTGAAATGAAAACAAATAAAATAGAAAAGGTAAAAGGTTAAGAAAATGGTCTTTCTAGAGGACAACTTCAGTCCTGTTGAGAACATAATTACAAGGTCCCTGGTGTTCCAATTCCTCCTAAGTTACCTCTTAGGTAAAAGAACACCTAAGACCAAATTGCCAAGGATGTCCCATCTCGCTACTCCTTTTCTTTCTTTTTTTTTTTTTTGAGACAGAGTCTCACTTTGTTGCTCAGGCTAGAGTGAGTGCCGTGGCGTCAGCCTAGCTCACTGCAACCTCAAACTCCTGGGCTCAAGCGATCCTTCTGCATCAGCCTCCCAAGTAGCTGGGACTACAGGCATGCACCACCATGCCCGGCTAATTTTTTTCCTATATATATATTAATTGGCCAATTAATTTCTTTCTATTTATAGTAGAGATGGAGTCTCACTCTTGCTCAGGCTGGTTTCGAACTCCTACCCTTGAGCAATCCACTCGCCTCGGCCTCCCAGAGTGCTAGGATTACAAGTGCGAGCCACCGCACCTGGCCTCGCTACTCCTTTTTGACAGCATACTGGAAGTCCTAGCTAAAGCAATAAGACAAAAAAAGGAAATAAAAGGTATACATATTGGGAAGGAAAAAACTAAAACTATCTGTTTACAGATGACATGATTGTCTCTGTAGAAAATCCTAAAGAATTGACAAAAAAACTTCCTAGAAATATTAAGTGATTATAGTAAGGTTGTAAGATTCAAGGTTAACATATAAAAGATCAAATTGGTCACATCATTGCCTGATGCCAACCCAGTTACCATTAAGAGTTGCAGATGGCCGGGCGCGGTGGCTCACACCCGTAATCCTAGCACTTTGGGAGGCCGAGGCTGGTGGATCATTTGAGCTCAGGAGTTTGAGACCAGCCTGAGCAAGAGCAAGACCCTTTCTCTACTAAAAATAGAAAGAAATTGGAGGCCAAGGCGGGTGGATTGCTTGAGGTCAGGAGTTTGAAACCAGCCTGACCAAGAGTGAGACCCCGTCTTTACTAAAAATAAAAAGAAATTAATTATATATATTAAACTAATATATATATTAGTTTATATATTAGCCAACTAATATATATATTAAAAAAATTAGCCAGGCATGGTGGTGCATGCCTGTAGTCCCAGCCACTAGGGAGGCTGAGGCGGTAGGATTGCTTGAGCCCAGGAGTTTGAGGTTGCTGTGAGCTAGGCTGATGCCATGGCACTCACTCTAGCCTGGGCAACAAAGCAAGACTCTGTCTCAAAAAAAAAAAAAAAAAAAAAAGAAGAAGAAGAAAGAAAGAAATTAATTGGCCAACTAAAAACATATATAGAAAAAAATAGCCGAGCATGCCTGTAGTCCCAGCTACTTGGGAGGGTGAAGCAGGAAGATTACTTGAGCCCAGGAGTTTGAGGTTGCTGTGAACTAGGCTGATGCCACGGCACTCTAGCCAGGGCAACAGAGTGAGACTCTGTCTCAAAAAAAAAAATGAATTGGAGAGGATGGGTGGGTGGGTCTAGAAATAACACATGCAATGACTAACACATTTTGGAGACTTAAAATCATGAGACACAAGTGCTGCTCCCTATTAGACTTTCCTGACCTTCCTCAAGAAGGTGATTAATCAATCAAGCCCTAAACAAAATGAGTTTATGGCACATTTCTCAGTGAGAAACTCCCAAAGTTTCTGAGGCTGTAAAATATACTCTCAATAATATGTGGAGTCAAAGTTGGGACCAGATAAATTCATTGTTTGTAAAAAAAAAAAAAAAAAAGGCTGGCTAGGTGAGATGACTTCTAAATGATCCAACCCAGGATCTACCAGGTAAGTATTTTCTGGAGACAATGTGATTCAGGGAGTGATCTCTTGGGTCAGATAGATCTGGTTCTGAATTCCAGCTGTTTTCTCCTCAGAATCTCAGTTTCTTCGTATTTCAAATAGGAAAGAAGCAGTGTGAGGTGGATTAAGAATTCAGGTTTGCATTCAGAAAGTCATGTATCATTTTATTCCTTTCTCAGCCATGGACCCACTGTGTGAGCTGAGATGAGCAGCTTAACCTCTGTGAGGCTTGGTTGTCTGTTCCAATGGATGTTGTCACACCTTTCCTCTTCCTATCATGGCTGTGAGGACTACCAAGGACCACGTGTCCGCAACCTGGACACAGTATCTGTTAGGATGGGAGGCAGTGTACACCAATGGTTAGGAATTTAGGCTCTGGAATCAGACTGCAACAGGCCTAGGTCAAATTCTAGCTCTAACAATTACTCCTGGTGAGACCTTAGGAAAATCAATTTTTTCTCTCACCCTCAGTTTGTGTAACTGTAAAATGAGAATAATAACAGTAAACTATCTGTTGGAGTTTGCTATGAGGATTCAACCAGATGATGTGGGTACAGCTACCAAAACTGGCCTGGTTTTTAGTGTAAGTAGCCAATAAGGGACAGAGATATTATGAGACTGTCAATGCATTTTCCCAAATGTTTTAGGAGTTGAAAATATGCACTGAGTGCCAAAGCCTTCAGGATCAGATTCAAGTCAAAAGAAAAACAAAACACAACACCAAAACCCCTCATTCGTAGATGAAATAAACCGGGACCAACGTGACTACATCAAACTTCATCCCACATCCACAAGATGAACCCGACTTAATCACAGTGCAGCTCACATGCTGGACGCTCACGAGACCAGGGTTCCAGTCCTAGCAATGCCTGTACTCGCTGTGTGACCTGAGATAAATGACTTCACCTCTCTGGCCCTCAGAGGTTCACCTGGCACAGTAATTGTCTCCCTCACGGGATATTTAGAAGGATTCAATGAGAGATGCACAAAGTGCGGTGCGCAGAAAGGCTTGATGAGCGGGAGCTGCTGTTAATCCTAGTATGGCTCCATCCAGTCTTTCCACCTTTTGGAGGGTTTCGCTTCCTGTCAGGCCCGGGTCCTGCCTCAGGCTGTCTCGCCCGCCGCTTACAGCTCGGGCTACAGTCCCAGGCTCTTCCGCGTGGTGCTCTCTTCCCACCTGCAGCTCCTCAGCGAGCCGCCGGGACGGAGGACAGAACCCTAATAGCCGCCTGAAACTGTTTGGCTGGGTCCCGCCCCCTCTGCGCTTTGATCAATCAGAAGCGAAGAAGCAAAGCCTGCGGGCCAATCGAATGCGGCAGCGGCGAGCAATGCCCGCCTCCTTAAAGCGCCGTGGCGCCTCATTGGATGAGTCCAAGAGCGAACCCTAAGCTGCTTAGAAGAGAGGGGGCCAATCAGCGGTGCAACCGCTGCGGACGCAGTGTGAGGGACCAGTCTGCCCGCCGCGGGAGGCTGGCGAGGTGCAAGCTCGCTTGTCGTAACCTAAGCCCTGCCTTCGAGGGAAGCCCGCTGGCCGGGCTCATACGCTCCGGTCAACTAATGCAGGGAGCCATTCTTTCTGTGGCGTAGGGGGCCGGCACGTGACGCGCGCGGGTGTCCGTGAAAATGTGAGGTGCGAATGTACCCCTGCCAGTCGCGGGTCAAGGCCCTGCCCCTCTTGTGCCTTCCCTGTCCCTGTAACTTCCAGGTGTGCAGGGTGAGTTGCGCAGCCTATCAGCGGTGATTAGGGCAAAAGGCGGGAAAAGGGAGCCGCCCACAGGCACCCGAAGCCTGACGGGCTCCTGAGGGAGTCCCGGCCAATCAGGTGTGGCGGCAGCCTACCCACCCCTGTACGCTTCCCCAGACCGTAAATCTCCATATATTGTAAAGGGTGGAGAGAAGAGTGAAAGGGTTTCTGAACAAGAGCTACTCAGGGGGGCAAGATGGAAGCAATAAAGGTGGTGGCATCCCTGAGCACTTGCAGACAGAGGCCCCAAGGCTACTCTGGTGAAGGAGGTTCCAACCCGGTCGTGCAAAGGGAGTGGGAAAGGGCCAACTCCGCAGCCAATCAACACTGGGGGGCAGAGGGCAGTCGCTCGAACTCTTCTACTGAGAGGCCCGAAGCCTAAGTCCCCCGACCAATCAGGCTCAAGGCCCTGCCCCTCCACAGCCAATCAGTGGCGAGCCCGAGGCAGAGCCGAGGAAGTGGCACTGTCCTAGGTGCCTCCCAGGCTGCTCAGCGCGCTCAGCCAGTAGGGGAGTGCGGCCAGCGCTGCAGCCAATCAGCGTCCGCCTCGGGCTCTGGGCGCGAGGAGCGAGCTGTGCACGCGCCTGGGCCGCGCGCCACTTCTCACTTTCTAACGGCCACTGGCCACTCCGGCTTGCGCTGCCCTAAGTGTATGCGGGGCTGAATGGGGAGGAGGAACAGGGTCTGAGCTGGTGAGTGCCATGGTTTTTCTTACTCTTTTTCGGGCTTGGGCCTGGCCCAGGCCAAGCTGGTGTTTTGGGGCTTGAGTGGCCGCCGTTGAGGATCGGAAAGTGCGGGTTGAGGGCTTTAGGCCCTGGGGTTTGCGCCTGCCCTGGAGAGGCTGGAAATGGAGGCTCCTGGCACCTTTGGGCCTAGGTTGGGCAGAGGCCAAGCCAGCATGCCCTCTGAGTTGGTCAGTGATCCTTGAGGCCAGCCTGACTTGGAAGCATGTTCTGGGGAAGTTGAAGGCCCTTGGCTCTGCATGGGGTCATTGGCCACGAGGTATGGCCTCTGGACAGTGAGAGGTTATCTGGGGTCTCTGGACTGGATCTGGATCTGGTGACTCAGAGGAGAGGCCTGTAGCTCTCCGGAGGTTATAGGAAGTCATTGGCCAAGAGATGAAACTAGCGTGCACTTGGAAGGTTTTCTGGGGCATTTGAACCCAGCTTGGGCTGGGAGTGAATGTTAGTGAGGTCGAAAGCCCACCGAGAAGTGGTCAAGGACCATTGCATCCAGACTGTGCAGGGGACATGCAATTGCAAGGCTTTCTGGGGTTTCCGGGCTCTGAGTTGAGATGCTTTTGGTAGATGCTCCAGTACTGAGTCCAGGTTGGTCAATGTGACCAAGAGGTTGGCCTCTGGAAGTTCTGGAGAAGAAGTCTCTGTAGCCCAGCCAACCTTTTTCCCTGAGTGAGGTATTATTGCCCTGTGGCTCTAGATAGAACTGGGATTGGGTTGTGTCTGGGCCTCTTTGGTCTCCCTGTCCCCACTCTTCCCTATGCCCTTTGTGGTCATTCCCAGAAAATGTTGGGCTGTAAGCATGAGGCAGTTACATGGGGAAGGTGAATGTTGGCCTGGACCACAGGAAGAGGTGTGCAAGAGGTGTGCAAAGATCTGCTCTTTAGGAAATCAACCCAGGCTGTCTGTACTGATGATCTATTCACACTCATAGAGCAGGGTGTTGATATCTAATTTCACTTGGCTGTTCAATGGTATTAAAGCTTTCAGAGTGCTTTCATGTACACTAAGTTCTTAAACCAGGGGTGGAGGTGAAGGGTTGGTCTATGAGTGGACTTCAAAGGCTGTGATCTCCTGGAAATCCTAAGAACAACTGTATGCATGTGTGCATTTGTTGGGGGGGGGTGTGAAAGGATACAAGCATGAGCAAGAAGGAATAACCTGTCCAGGAATGGGCGTCAGAACAATCTGTGAATCTCTTGTCATTTACTTGTATACAAAATGGTATGAGCGTCTACAACTTTCTAATGTAAATGGTTGGCCCTATGGTTTACATTCTCAACTGGATGTTGACCCCCTAAGAGGTTAAGAACCATTGGAATAAGGTAGGCTCTTGTGTATGGGGCCTGGGCAAGACTACAAATGGAGATTCCTTCTTTTTTTTCTCACACTCAGTGTTGGCCCACCCTTCAAGGTGTCTGACATACTAGCCCGCACAACCAAGCTCAGTCTACATGCCCTGCACACAATCAGGGCCTAGGGTGTGTCCATCAGTCACCCGGTCCACCCTCATGAATATAGACCTGGGGTTGGGGCCTGTGTAGGCCCCGAAAGTGGGCTTAGAGTCATTTGGTCCAGGAAATCCAGGATTCTAGATTCTCAGACCATGGTCTAGATGTGAGGTAACATGGGAGCTCACAAGCTCCAACTAGGCACTTCCTAAATACCTTTGGACTCCTCAGCCCATGGGAAGGGACATGGCCAGAAGTCAGAGTAGGGCCTTCTGCCCAGGTCTAAGTCAATACTGGTATTCAGTATTACTCTTGAAAAAGCTCCTATGAGGAAGTTGAGGCTCTTGGAAGAGTTAGCCCCATATGAGTGCCAAAGAAAAAGGCCATGCAATGTGAGGATGCAATGGAACTTGAGTTTTCTGACTTCTAGTCTAGTTTTTTTCTACTTAATCCACATATCACTTTGTGCTATGATAGGGTCTCAAGAACCTAGATTCAGCTCACCTGGTTATGACTATATCTCGTTCTTGGGTTATATAGAGCATTGATTTAAGGGAAAAAAGAAACTAACTCACCCTGTGGTATCTCTTTTCTGGTATGTGTTGGATATACTTAACTAGAAAGAGTGAACATCTTTAAAGTTCATGTAAGATTTGGATAATTGGTCTTAATCTATATAAAATGCTATGAGGAATTTAACCTTAATTTGTGGAAAGAGATGTGTTCCTGGGAAGAGTGGCTAGTTAATAGATTTTTTCTAAATTGAATCTTGTTTTCAACCTGGCTTGGGAAGAGCCAATATTTAAAATAAGTGAGATAAAGGGAGAACATTTTTCATAAAACAAATAATCATCCCTCTAGTTGGCTTACTCTGATGGTTTAATCCTAATTCTAATATTTAAAGAGAATCTATATTTGCATTGCTCTATTGACATCACATCACATTGCTTGTTATATCAAGCTGGATTGTGACTGAAGGAGTTTGTATACAAGGATTTCTGGAAAGCTCTGATTTTGCAATCAGGGTGTGCACTGAGCCCCTCACATATTTTCTCCCCTTAGTGTCTCCCTGGTCAAGCCTATCAGTCAGAATTTAAAAAATCAGATTTCAAACTTTATTCAGTAACAGGAGTATTAGAAAGAGCTGAGAGGCAGAAATCATACCTCCTTTCCCTACATATTCCTCTTCCAATTATGTTCTACCTAATCTCTCCTACCCATGCTACCCCCGCCAGGATGCAGGCTTGAGTTCTCATAACCTGTGGTTTCCTAGATCTTCCCCAGAGAGACAACCATGGATGATTCCTTGGGAAGCGGAAGGTGGGCAAGGTTTTTGAGACTAGGGAGGGGAGGCCTTTCAAGAACAGCAACAATTAGCAGTGTCCCTACCCTTCCAAGTCCAAGTGCTGTTTGCTTCTGCTTCTGCTGCACTAAGTGCAGAATGGCTTGAGTTGTTTGTCAAAAATGTAGGGAGAGGCTAGACAAGTGCCTAGAGTGTCACCAGCATGAGGGATACCCTTAGGTGAGGTAGATACCAAGTGGGAGGCAAGATGGGGTTTCCCATTCTTGGGGGCTTTTGTTCAATGGGGAATACCCTTGACCCTTGTCCTCCCTTTTAGGTTCCCCGAAAGCCTACTGATGCTCTTTGTCAACTACTTTTGGCTGACAGAGAATGCTGCCTGCTGAGCAGTCTCAACTCTCTTGATCATCAATTTGCAAACCACACTAGTGGGGGCTGAGTCACAGACACATGATGTAGGGCTGGGAGGTGAGGGGATCACACTCTACTGGATGATGACGTAATCTTCCAGACCCCTGTACCTTTCCTTCTGTGCCTGGGGCTTCTCCCTCATGGCTTTCCCCAGTTATTCCTTTTCTTTGGTGACTGTGTATTTCTGTGTTGGAGGAAGGCTGTTTCCCTCTGTGAACATACATATCAGAGGGATTGCTGCTTTCTGTGTCTTTTATATGGGTGTCTAATGTGTCCCTGGGTGTGGTAGTGTGAGGAATTAGAAAGCTCAGAAGTGGAAAATACTTAACGCTCAGAGTAGCAGATGAATACAGCTCGCACATTTGCATTTTCCCTTTCACTCTGACTCATCTTCCCCTCTCCTTACCCGATTGCCCCTCCGCCAGCCTCACCCATTGACACACCCTGTCTGATCTAGGAAGGGTTAACACCTGCCTGCGGCCAAGCTAGAATGAGAAGGAAGATAGGTTAGGTCTAGAGGGAGAGAATAAGAAGCTGGTTTGAACATTTTGGAGCCAAAGTGAGAAATGGCAGCTTAAAGACACAGTATTTGGGTCTAGGAAGTGAAGCCCAGGGGGAAACAGACTATCCCTTGTCACCAAAGCAGCCTACTGGTACCTGACTTGTTTATCTTCCAATTATTTGTTGTGCCTATATAATATTCTAGGTATATATCATAAGTACTTTATCAACATTTGTAGAATGAATGAAAAATCTGCTACAGGAACAGGGATAATAGAATAGCAAGAAACAGAAAAAGAAACTTGAGTCTTTCATCCCTTCCTCAGATCAAAGAGTACTAAAGTGTGAAAAGAGGGGAAACCTCCGGGGACCTTGACTCCTTGGGCAGGAAATGAAAGAAACCTCTGAGTCTTGATTTCAGAGAAATGTCATTTGTCATTGGCCCAAGAAAAGGAGGTTTTCTCTTCGAAGACCACCGCAGGCTGTTCCTGGGGTTGCCCCCTTCAGAGCTCGGTGGGAGGATCTGAGTCACTCACACACCCAGTCCCCGATGGTGGCCCAGATGACAGGGGTCATTACCACAGAGTAAATGAGGCTTCCCAAGTAGCAAGCCAGGGAGAGGGAGGAGGCATGCTTTTGGTCCTCTTTCACAGTCTTTGGAATCCAGATGTTCCAGTCCTTTTTACTGCTGAGGTAGTAGAAACAGCTTCCAGCCTCTAGTGCTCTGCGGTCACCTCTAAGAAAGAAAACTAATGCCATTTGATTGGTGCTAGGTACTTACAAACCATCTTCACATTCATCATGTCATTTCATCTCCTCCAAATGAGAGATTATTCCTATCCCATGAAAGAGGTAACAGGCTCAGAGAGGTGACTTGCCCCAGGTCACTCAGCTAGTAAATGGCAGAGATGAAACTCAAATGCAGGTCTGATTATTCCAAAGTCCTTGTTGCTACAGATACAGTTTTTTGACTCTAGGAATTCACAAAGTAAGAGACAGGAGGTTAGGAAGCAGAATGCCTGGGCTCTGAAAGTAGAGGGTGCAGTCTCCCATCAGGCATAAAACAGAGCCAGGGTTATAAAACCACACCCCCTTGGGGGACTGGGGCAGACCGATACTTGGGACATCCAATGGAGGACTGTGAGGTCATGGGCGGGGCTAGCTCCGGGGTGAGGGGCCTAGAGCCCCAGCCGCAGTTCAGAGCATGCGGTGTCCAGGAGGAAGCGACAACGGGTGAGTGGTTGCCTCTTCCCAGCTGAAGCTTTCTTCCCACCACAGCTCTGCCTGTCCACTCCCTGCCAACCTGTAGCCCTCTCCCCGAGGTGTCCCAGTAGTACCCCTCCCTCTCACAGGTCCCTGTTCACAGTGAGCCCGCACCTGGGAACATGCCTGCTGAGGGCTAAGACACTTAGCTTCTGTATCTGGGTTCCCAGTTCTCTTCTTCAAAGCCAATGTGGTGGTTTTGATGTGTGATAAACTCCTGCCATGTTGGGTCCTATCTTCCTATTCTTCACATTTTGTTTTATGAAAAACAAAATCACACCATCTCCTTATCCTAATCTTGAGAGGAAACAGCCTCCCTCACTACACTTCACATTTCCCTTTCTCCTACTTCCTTGGGGCCAATTCTCCAAAAAGCTCCCTCCATCACTGGGTCACTAGCCTCTCTCCTGTGGCTTCTGCACCTGCTTTCTGAATTCACTGGAGGGGAATCTTTGTCTTTTCTCTGAAGATGTGTTCTAGAAGCTTCAGTTTCAGGGCAATGATTGAGCGATACCTTACAGCCTGCCCTCCTGCAGCCATGACCCCTGTCTTACTGTCTTCCTGCCTTTCAGGCATGATGGGCTTGTGGGGGGAGGACCCACTAGCTTTCGAAGCTCTCCCATGAAGCTGTGTCTTGCTCCATTCCTAAATGCTAGGGGTGATTGGGTTTCATGGTGATCCCTTTGTCTGGAATGAGGACAGCCTGGCCTGCTCAGAGGTCCTTCCCTGCAGAGGGGCTTGGAGAAGCAGAAGTGTCAGTGTCTGCCATCCTTTAAGTCGGAGACTGCCAGTGGGCAGGCCCTGTCTATACTTGTCTTAAACACACTGCTTGATATTGTTGTTAACTGCCTGGCCCTTGCTCTTTAAGTCCTGAATTTGGTCTAATTTCCATTCTCCCACCATCATCCCCACCCCTAGCTGCTGTTATGATTCTGGATAAGCTCGGATCCTCTGTTGAGTTAGTTTATTTGCTCGCTCAGGACAGAGGTCTCTGTTCTAGAACCAGCAACTCACTCTTTCTCCCCTCACCTCCGCAGGTTTGAGAATATGCTGTTCCTCCCTCGCCTTTACTTCATGGACCCCACATTGTTGCCTTTCTCTTAGAGCCTCTGAGATTGGTACCTAGGCGAGGCATAATGCCCCTGCCTCCCATAAGACTGCCCAGCCCCTACGGCTCTGATCGGCTGGTACGGCTGGCAGCCAGGCTCCGGCCTGCACTATGTGATACCCTGATCACCGTGGGGAGCCAGGAGTTCCCAGTCCACAGCCTGGTGCTAGCAGGTGTAAGCCAGCAGCTGGGCCACAGGGGCCAGTGGGCTCTGGTAGAAGGCATCAGCCCTTCCACCTTTGCCCAGCTTCTACATTTTGTTTATGGAGAGAGTGTAGAGCTGCAGCCTGGGGAGCTGGAGACCCTCGAGGCGGCGGCCAGGGCCTTGGGAGTGCAGTCCCTGGAAGAGGCCTGCAGAAGGGCTCGAAGGGACAGGGCTGAAGAAGAGCTGGACCCAGGGCTGAAGAAACGTCAGGAGGAGCCAGAGAAACCCACAAGGGATTCTGAGAGAGGACTGGGGAGGCTTGGAGAGAAGCAGGAACCAGAGAAGTTTTTTAGAACTGGTGAGAGAGAACAGGAGATGTTGCACAAGCACAAGCCACCGAGAGAGGGCCCTGAGATGGCAGGGGCGAGGAGGGAGGATCAGGGGGAGCAGATGAGATCAAAGGAGGAGAAATTCAGCCAACCCCCTGTTTGCCACGGGGCAGCAGATGGGAAGCAAGGAGTGGTCATGTGGGTGAGGGAGAGTGCAGGGGGCTCTGAGGAAAGTCTGCGGGAGTTCCCTGGCCCCCTTCCCCTACCAAATTCCTTCCAAACCAGCATCATCCCCAGGCCCTGGTGGGCTGAGGCCCCTTGGTTTGGGGAGAGCCAGCCTGCCCTGTGGAGCATCCTGCTGTTGCCGCCCAGATATGGCACTCCCTTCTCCCATAGCACCCCCACCACTGGAGCCTGGCAGGAGGTCTGGCCTCAGGACCAGAGGTGAGTGAAGGGACTAGGAAAAGGCCTCCAGGCAGGGAGGGAGTAGCTCAGGAGAGGCAGCTGTGATGGGTGGAAAGGCTCCAACCACCTCTCTCTCTACTGTGCATTCCTGAGTTGGGGATGGGCAAGAATCTCCTGCCACAGAAAGCCAAAGCCCAGCCCTTGAGGACTCAGGACATCCCCCTCTTCAAGAAAGGGCCAGGCTCCCAGGCTTTTCCAAGGCTATAACTCTTTCCCACCCCACCTCCAGGATCCCACTGGCCCTGAACCTCCCCAAAGGGCTCTGGAGCCAGAACCAGCTGGCCTCCTCCAGCCCCACCCCAGGTAAGCCCCTCACTGTCCTGCACACACCTGTAACGTGGTCTGTCCTCTGGGGCTGGGGTTCCAGGAGTCCAGCCTGAGCACGGCCCCTGCCTCATTCTGCTTCCTACAGGTTCCCTCTCCCAGGGGCCCACACAGCTCAGCCCTGGGGAGACGGAAGAGTCTGATCAGGGGCACACAGGTGAGTAGGGTGAGGGCACTTTTGCCTCAGCCCCACTGTAGCCCCTGATTCTTGTCTGGGTGTTACAGTGATTCGGCTCTGGGATTCCTGGCCTTGCCCTCCTTTGACTTCTCTGTCCCCACAGGAGCACTTGCAACCTGTGTGGGTCACGAGGGCACAGCAGGCCACCCATCTCACCAACACCCTCCCCCAGCCCCTTCTGCTCGGTCTCGGCCCTATGCTTGCTCTGTCTGTGGGAAGAGGTTTTCACTGAAACATCAGATGGAAACGCACTACCGAGTCCACACAGGTATGGGTGCCGTGCCTGGTGTGAACTGTCCGCTTCCTTCCTGACTCCAGTCTGCCCAACTCCGGCGCAGTTCCCTCACCTGGTTGCCCAGTCTACTCCTAGCTTGGGCAGCCTTTGCTCCCTTCTTCCTTCCTTCACCAAGCTCCCCTTCTGCCCGCCCTAGGAGAGAAGCCCTTCTCCTGTAGCCTTTGTCCTCAGCGCTCCCGGGACTTCTCTGCCATGAGCAAGCACCTGCGGACGCACGGGGCCGCTCCGTATCGCTGCCCCCTGTGCAGGGCCGGCTGCCCCAGCCTGGCCTCCATGCAGGCGCACATGCGAGGCCACTCACCCAGCCAGCTCCCGCCCGGATGGACCATTCGCTCCACCTTCCTCTACTCCTCCTCCTCCTCAAGGCCATCCCGGGCCTCGACCTCTCCCTGTTGTCCCTCCTCCACCACCACCTGACGAGGTGTCGGTAGCTTCTTTGGGCTCAGCCAAGATTCCAAGTAAAGAATGAGAATCGGGGCGGCTTGGCATCTGGCCCGGCACTGCTGCTGCGGCAGCTTAGCAAACTCGGCCCCAGAAGCGCCTCGGGAAGGCGGCTGAGAGCTCTCTCCCGGACGACCGCGGGTCGCACACGCCTGGGCCAGCGAGCCTCTTTAGGGTGAGGGCTCTAAAGTTTACAGGAGTGAAGGTTAACTGTACGGGGACGGCCGATTTCATCACCATAATAAAGAGTTTCCTGTGCTCTCCTTCCAGGACTAGAAAGCCGACTTCAGTCTGTGCGCGGGGGTCCCCCAGCCTTGCCCCTTGTCCTAGAGCGGCCCCTTGTGGCTGTGCGTCCGCTGTCCAGCGGGGTGGACACTTCCTCTGCTCCCCTGGGCGCTCCGTCCTCTCCTGGAGGCAGCCTGCCGCAAGGGCTCGGTGTTCAGGCAAACTTCGCAGCAGGCCCTGGGATGGTGGAGGCTGTGAGACCCGAGTCACTCGCCCCTTCCACAGCAATCCGCGGCGCGCGAAGTCTGAGCTGCGCGGGCCCCGCCAGTGGCTGGAGGGAGAGCATGCTTCCGCCCTGTTTTCGTCACCCGCCCGCTCTCCTTGAGCACCGGGGCCCCGAGATCGCGGCCCCTCTAGCATCTTCCCTCCGCGCCGAGCAGAACGGCGGCCGGGTCGCGCTTGGAACCGAGACTACCCCTTCGCCGCCGCCCCTTCCCAGCCCACGCCTCCCGCAGTCGCGAACTGCACTTCCCAGTGTCGCCTGCGTTCCCAGGGCCGCAGCCCGCTGCAGCCTGGGAGTGGTAGTCGCTGCGGGCCGCTGGCTCCGACAGAATCTATAGCAGGCGTCTGGGACGAGGACCACAGGTCCCGGAGGCCCGAGGATTGGCTTTCCGGGTCCTGCTCAGGGACCCCGCGCTCGCGCCCTGCTCCCGGCGGAAGGAGCAAGGCGTCTGGACTACATTTCCCGAGGGCCCCTGCGCCTCGCCCCTCTGGCCGCGACGCGGGGTCTATGCTCCTCAGGAGCGGTCTAGGGGTGACGGCCGAGCGGCCGCGGACTCCGGCTCCCGTGGTGCCTCGCGCGCGGCCGGGCCAGCCCCCGGCTCCCGCCGGCCCCGCGGCGGCGCTGCCTGTTGTCGTGAGCCGCACCGCCTCTCCCCGCCCCGCCTCTCCCTCCCCTCCCCCCGGCCCTGCGCACGGGCCGCCCCTCCCCCCGCCTCCCCGGCCCCTCTCACGGTGCCAAGATGGCGGCGGCGGCGGGCGGCGGCAGTTGCCCCGGGCCTGGCTCCGCGCGGGGCCGCTTCCCGGGCCGGCCGCGGGGCTCCGGCGGGGGCGGGGGCCGCGGCGGACGGGGCAGCGGGGCCGAAAGAGTGCGGGTAGCTCTGCGGCGCGGGAGCGGCGCTGCGGGGCCGGGCGGAGCCGAGCCCGGGGAGGACACGGCCCTGCTCCGTTTGCTGGGGCTCCGCCGGGGCCTGCGCCGGCTCCGCCGCCTGTGGGCCGGCCCGCGCGTCCAGCGGGGCCGGGGCAGGGGCCGGGGCCGGGGCTGGGGCCCGAGCCGGGGCTGCGTGCCGGAGGAGGAGAGCAGTGACGGTGAATCCGACGATGAGGTGAGGCGGTCGGAGGCGTCCCCAACATCAGGCGGGGCGGAGGCCAGGGGCTTCCAGGGGTCTGGGTTACCCGGAGAGGTGGCGTGGGCAAGAGGGGTTCTAAGAGCTCCTGCGGTGAGAAGGGATCCTAGAAATAGGCAAGCAAGGAGGGAGGTTGCATGGAGCTTTCAGTGGAAAGGGCCTCTGAAAGCGGACAGAGAAGTCCCGGCTGCAGCTATGCACTTGGGCCCGAGACAGGTCCTGCTGAAGTGTCCTGGGCTGATCCTTCTCTGTAGTTGGCAAAGCTAGAGCAGGAGAGGTTTGGGCGAGGAGGCAATGTGGACTGCATGCCCGACCAGTGGTGGTTGACAGCAGCAGCGTGGTTTTAGTGGACCGAGACTAGAGCTGTCTAGGCTCTTACCTGTAGGCTGCTCTCTTGGGCCTGAAACCTCCCTGGTTTCACCACTGCCCCAGTTCGTTTTCTGATCTAAGGTAGAGTGGTGGAGGGCTTCCTCTTTGGGCACTGGCTGAAGAGGAATGAAATGAAAGCTGAGACTGGGCACTCTGGCAGGTCTGAGTTCAGCTCAGACCAGGATTTATCCGCCAGCCTTTCAGAAAAAAGGCAGAAAGGTGTGGGTTGTATTACTTAGGACAGTTAGTAACCACTCTAAGGGTTCAGAGTGAATCCTGATATGATACGCCATTTGATTCCCACCCCCACCCCCCAAACACCCCCTACACTTGGGTGTCCCTATTCCCATCTTCATTCAGGAAGAAACTATGCCAAAAGGGTGTAAGTGGAGGTCCCACTTTTTTCTGAGTTGAATTATGAAAGAGTCTAAGTGTAGGGCCTACTGCCTTCACTGAAGAGATCCTGTTATGTTCTCTTCTGGGTCAACGAACCACTGATAGCTGTGCTGGTGTGGTCTGGCACCGGGTTTGGGGTTCAGAATACTTTGTGCCTCCATCCCTAGAGAGACCCTGTTTTCTACCCCTCTCTGGCTTTTGAGTCTTTTTAGTTCTTTGAATAGGTAGAGGTACATTAAGGGGGAACTGGGGATATTCCTCGATATCTGAGTCACAGGTGGGACAAGGGCTTTGGCACTGACTGCTGTTTCTACCCTCCACCCCGGTCCCCTAAATTAGGAGTTTCAGGGTTTTCATTCAGATGAAGATGTGGCCCCCAGTTCCCTGCGCTCTGCGCTCCGATCCCAGCGAGGTGAGTGTTGGGGGAACTCTGCCTCTATAGCTTCACAGGGGAATGTTATTCTTACCCTTTGTGTCGGCTCTTCCCCGTCCACCTAGTCTCCATCAGTTACCAAGTGTGTCCTGTGTTTAGAGTCCAGGCTAGGCTGGGCAGTGGGGGAAACAGACAAGTAAGACTTAGTCCCTACCCTCCTGGAGTGCCTTCCTTAGTTTGCAGAGTCAGCGTGACCCATCTCCCCACACCTATTCTCCTTTTAGGTCGAGCCCCCCGAGGTCGGGGCCGCAAGCATAAGACGACCCCCCTTCCTCCTCCTCGCCTAGCAGATGTGGCTCCTACCCCCCCAAAGACCCCTGCCCGGAAACGGGGTGAGGAGGGCACAGAACGAATGGTGCAGGCACTGACTGAACTTCTCCGGCGGGCCCAGGCACCCCCACCCCCCCGGAGCTGGGCGTGTGAGCCCTCCACCCCCCGGCGGTCTCGGGGACGGCCCCCAGGACGGCCAGCAGGCCCCTGCAGGAAGAAGCAACAAGCAGTAGTGGTGGCAGAAGCAGCTGTGACAATCCCCAAACCTGAGCCCCCACCTCCTGTGGTTCCAGTAAAACACCGAACTGGCAGCTGGAAGTGCAAGGAGGGACCTGGTCCAGGACCTGGGACCCCCAAACGTGGAGGACAGTCTGGCAGAGGAGGTCGTGGAGGCAGGGGCCGAGGCCGAGGCGGGCTTCCCCTTGTGAACAAGGTTGTCTTAAAGGCCAAAAAAGTGAAGATGGAACAATTGTCCTTGGGACTTGAATCAGGTCAGGGTCAAGGTCGACATGGGGAAAGTTGGCAGGATGCCCCCCAAAGAAGAGTTGGATCTGGACAGGGAGGGGGCCCCTGCTGGAAGAAGCAGGAGGTGAAGCTAGAGGAGGAGGGAGAAGAGAAGAAAGAAGAAGAAGAAGAAGAAAAAAAAGAAGACAAGGAGGGAGAAGAGAAGGAAGGGAGAGATATAGCCAAGGAGGAGATGATGCTAGCCAAGGAAAAGGAAGAGGCAAAGCTGCCGTCACCACCTCTAACTTCTCCAGCCCCTTCACCTCCTCCACCCCTTTCACCCCCCTCAACATCTCCTCCACCCCCACTTTGCCCTCCACCACCCCCAGTGTCTCCCCCGCCCCTACCATCCCCTCCACCGCCTCCTGCCCCAGAGGAGCAGGAAGAATCCCCTCCTCCTGTGGTCCCAGCTACGTGCTCCAGGAAGAGAGGCCGGCCTCCCCTGACTCCCAGCCAGCGGGCAGAGCGGGAAGCTGCTCGGGCAGGCCCAGAGGGCACTTCTCCTCCCACTCCAACCCCCAGCACCACCACAGGAGGCCCTCCAGAAGACAGTCCCACCGTGGCCCCCAAAAGTACCACCTTCCTGAAGAATATCCGGCAGTTTATTATGCCTGTGGTGAGTGCCCGCTCCTCCCGTGTCATCAAGACACCCCGGCGATTTATGGACGAAGACCCCCCCAAGCCCCCAAAGGTGGAGGTCTCACCTATTCTGCGACCTCCCGTCGCCACCTCCCCACTTATCCCCCAGGAACCAGCACCAGCCCCGTCTCCACCACGTGCCCCAACTCCCCCTTCCACCCCAGCCCCACTCCCTGAGAAGAGACGGTCCATCTTAAGGGAACCCACGTTTCGTTGGACCTCACTGACACGGGAGCTGCCCCCTCCTCCACCTGCCCCTCCACCGGTCCCATCCCCACCCCCACCCCCACCTGCACCCCCTGCCCCTGCCCCTGCCCCTGCCACTGCTTCCCGGAGACCCCTGCTCCTTCGGGCCCCTCAGTTTACCCCAAGCGAAGCCCACCTGAAGATCTACGAATCGGTGCTTACTACTCCTCCTCTTGGGGCTCCTGAAGCCCCTGAGCCAGAGCCTCCTCCCGCCGATGACTCTCCAGCTGAGCCTGAGCCTCGGGCAGTGGGCCGCACCAACCACCTCAGCCTGCCTCGGTTTGCCCCTGTGGTCGCCACTCCTGTTAAGGCCGAGGTGCCCCCTCATGGGGCTCCAGCTCTGAGCAATGGGCAGCAGCCCCAGGCTCAGCTACAGCAGCCCCAACCAGCCTTGCAAACCCAGCTGCTGCCCCAGGCACTGCCGCCACAGCAGCCACAGCTCCAGCCACAATTACAGCTGCAGCCACCACCATCACCACAGCAGATGCCGCCACTGGAAAAAGCTCGGATTGCGGGCCTGGGTTCCTTGCCGTTGTCTGGAGTAGAGGAGAAAATGTTCAGCCTCCTCAAGAGAGCCAAAGTGCAGCTATTCAAGATCGATCAGCAGCAGCAGCAGAAGGTGGCGTCTTCGATGCCGGTGAGCGTGGTGCTTTGGCCAGGCCCCTGCACCCAGTCCATCCAGCCTCAGTTCTCTGCAACCCCTTTATCTCCTCCCTCCCTGGACACTGTACAGCATTGCAGGGAGCCCTCAGAACCAGTCCTTCCCTCTCCCCCAGGTTCCTGCGTTCCTTCCCTGGCTTCTTCCCTTCCCTGTGCTGTTCCCCTGTCCCTGTCTTTCCTCACTTTCCAGCCCCTGACCCTGTTTATTCCCCTACCAGCCGAGCCCTGGGAGGCCAGTGGAGGAGGCCGTGGGGACTGTCAAGCAGATCTCAGACAGAGGTTCTGTGAGGTCTGAAGACGAATCGATGGAAGTGAAGAGAGAGAGACCCTCGGTACGCAGTGGGCGGAGGGCCTGTGAAGAGGGCTGGTTGGAGGAGCAGGTCTGCAGGAGCACAAGGAGCAGCTCTCCACACGCATTCCTGGTTTCTCCTTCCCCAGGGCCCCGAGTCCCCTGTGCAAGGCCCCCGCATCAAACACGTCTGCCGTCATGCTGCTGTGGCCCTGGGTCAGGCCCGGGCCATGGTGCCCGAAGATGTCCCCCGTCTCAGTGCCCTCCCTCTCCGGGATCGGCAGGATCTCGCCACAGAGGGTAGGGGGGTGCTGTGTTGTGGGGAGACTGGACAGATGTGTCAGGTTTGGGGATGAGCAAGTGGACCAAGAGGCCAGGAGAGAGGGGCCAGGTCAGGTGCTCGGGGTAGGTGGCAAGTGGTTGGAGTACTGAGTCTTAGGCAAAGCAGGCTGATTTAGGGGCACTGAAACCTATTACTTTGGGAAAGTGGGAGCAAAGGGCAATTGAGTGGCATCTGCGGGAGAATGGGGAAATGAGGGAGCGTGCTTGGCAGCTTCGTGGCTCCATCTCCTCCTCTCGTGTCTGCTGCAATAGATACGTCATCAGCGTCTGAAACTGAGAGTGTCCCGTCACGGTCC